GTGGGGAAACGATTTCTCTCGGCGTTCCGAATGGAATCATTGAATCATCCCACGGACTCGGATATACACCGCGCACTTCTCGTTGCTATTTCTCAACGCGATCCAACGCGCACGATTCCTCTATTTTCCCAGCTACATGCACCGACGTAGCTACCCACCTACTGTGGATCAAGGACGACGCACCGCACGCACACCTGCGCGCTCATATACGCGATTTTAAAATGCGACGGAGATTTTTCACGCCGGTGTAACGAACTTTTATCGATTAGCCGACAGCCTGGAACGCTTGCCGCGTGATGCAACACGACTCTAAACGTTGCCACGAGTTTCTTCCCAACTTTGTTCCGTTGTTGCGAACGAAAGATTCGAACACGATATACTCCGTGACTGATTGTCTCTGATTCTAAGAATTCATTTTATAGATTTGATAAGGTACTCACACGGTCATCTAACAATTGTAACGTTCGTAATGTTTCTTCAGTCCAAAATTTAGAGTCTTGCAAATTTTAAATGTAACTTAAATGTGCTTTGCTTTGTCAAGAATATCGGTCAAGTAGTCTACATATCGAGATTAAATTCGTTGAATTTTTTCGAACGGAGAAATTGAGCTCAGTATGTTACAATTTAAGAGAACAATTTGTATATTAATTGATCAGATCTAATTATATTAAATTCAATATCGTTTGATAATACCTTCGCCTGGTTACAGAAATTTAACGTTACGAGAATGAAATGTTGGATTGGAAAAAAAAAAAAAAAAAGAATACTTCATTGCAAAACAACGCCAGTATTCTCAGATAACAGAGATAACGTAGAATTATGAATGAAGACGCGCGTGATCGCGGCGAGGCGGCAGGAAAATCAGTCCGAAAAGGCGAACTGTTTTGCAGGGAGTATCGAGGCCCCTTAACGGGATCCTCCCATTGGCCATCTATCATAAATTATACATTATATCGTGCAAGAGAGCCGGTCCACGTGGCGGCGAATCGTAGAGTGCAACCGATGCGTCTCTTTTTCTTTTTCCTTTCTTTCTCATTCTCTTTTCGGCCGCTGCAATAATTTACGTTGGGTCGTAACGCAGTCGAATATCGATTCCCCGCCCGTATAAAAACATTTAATTATGATACGGAATTGCCGTTTTAATTTTCGTCGCGATATCTTACCCGATTCCCTGTCTGTTTACACACGTCTCTCGGTCTGGTTTCCGGCGTGTGCGTACTTATTACACGCGACGCTGCTGGCTCTACTTATTAATCGTGAAAACTCAATTACACCGTCGGTGTAGCAATTTTCGAAAGGCATTCCAATTTGTTTCGTTACGCTACAAAGTAGCGTCGAGACTGTACGTGCCGGGTTATAAATCCTCTCAACCCTTTCGCGCGATTTTTCTCTCTCGTGACTGGGGCCGCCGCGTACATACATGCGCGCACGATTCATGAATTTCAAACGAATTTGTTACAATCAAAAACGAAATTGAATTACGGAACGAAATTCCTCCAGGTCTTTCATGCAAATTTCGCGTTCACCGGGAGCGTAATTTTAAAAAGTAGAACACTCGGCACATTTTGTGTGTCTTTTTATGTTGTTTGCATTCTGCGCAATTCTTTGAAATTTTCTACAAAATGTAGTGTCCTCTATTTAGAGACTAAATTTCCCGCAGTTTATCTGAAATATCCTTAATGTAATTATAATTTCTCTAGTAATAACTATAATTTGTCAATTTAACATTTTGAAGTAATTTGAGTAGAATTAACGGAACTAGAGATGAAAAGTTTCCTGCCTCTTAAGAGAATTATCGAAAATCTCGATACACTTGCAGTGAAAATGTTGCTTCGAAGGTCAAAATGCCAAAACTCTTACAAGTGACAATTATCGTGTTCGACGGGCCATAAATTCTCAAGCCTGCGTGATTTTTCTCTCGCAACGACTCGTAAATTTTAAAGGAACTTTAATTGAATGAGAAAACATTTCGGAGGATACCGGGAACGAATTTCGAATTTCCACGTGAGTAATCGAGCGTGTCTTATCGTCGATGACAGCGACTAATTAATTAAATTACTTATACATTAGATGGATACAGAGTTTAATCTCCGATTAAGTTAACGAAGGATACCACCAAGTTTTATAGGTCCTATAGAAGTTTGAATTCTGCTCGGCATGGAAAAGCATGGGCATGTCGAATCGAATGGAGTCACGACTGTGACTAATTATGAAAGATGTTGTCCAGAAAAACCGATAGTCGGTGCCATTTTACGATACCGTAAAATTAACTTTCTTCTCTTAAAAGGCTTTTAATGCCTAGAAAAGATAATTACCAGACGACTCTGTATACAATTACATACTTTGCCGAGTATTCGTCAACTAATGATTCTTGATTTATTACGGTGGATGTACATGCAAAAATTTGAATAACATTAACTTCGTTATTCTACATATGTACAGGGTGTTTCGTAACTTGTGGAACCCACTTCGAGAGCTGATTGTACGCCTAAAAATAATGAGGAAAAGTCAAATAATGAAAAAAATATAAATATATGTCCTATCTATCTTTGTTCATGAGATATAATGAATTTTATAAACAGAGCAGACTCTAGTAAGCTAGTTTCACCAGGGATGGTATATTCAATTTTCATAATAATCATAATTGGGATGAAAACCCACATGTTATTGTGCATTCAAGACATCAACACCAGTTTAGTTTAAACGTATGAGCAGGAATAATTGATAAATTTTTAATTGGACCTTTTTTGGAAATTAACAGGCACAAAGTACATTGATTTTTTGAGCACGCGTTTACACGAAATATTAGAGGAAGTTCCAGTTGATATTAGACTTCGTATGCGGTTTATGCATGATGGAGTTCCGCCACATTTTAACCAAGTGGCTAGGCAATTTTTAAATCAACACTTTGCAAATAAATGGATTGGTCGTGGAGGTCCTATTGCATGGCCTGCTCGTTCTCCGGATTTGAATCCGTTAGATTTTCATTTGTGGGGACATTTAAAATCTATTGTATACGCAACATCGATTGAAAATGCTGAAATACTACGAAATAGAATAGAGCAAGGCTTCCGACAAATTCGAGAAACACCAGGAAT